AATTTAGGATACGATTTATTGTTGAAAACGATTTTTGAAGTGGCATGGCCATTTTCATACTGTGATTACATTATACCTTGAGCTGCCCCAAAAATCAGAAGGCCATTGGAATTGGCAGCTCTGCAAATGTCATTACAAAAAAACAGGAATGCTGAAGGGGGGTTGCAAGGGAGGGGCATTGCTTTCCCCAAGGGGGGCAAAGGTGGCCTATTTGATATTCGAGAAATATTTGAGATATTTAAAAAAATCATTACATGTTCGCTTCATGAGGCAAAAATTACAAATTATGAACCCATTAAAAAGGGTCCGACCTCAAAAACCTGCCCCCCCCCCCCCACACACACACACACATGGTTCCACCATCCCTGCAAAAAAACTGATATTGTTTATTCAATTTTCAGCGGCATTATCTCTTTGCCTATTTCTACCAAAAATTGCGAGGGTTAACTGAGCTGCTGAACATTGACTATCTCACAAGAGAAACAGACCTTAGTGCATTTCACATGATCCTGACATGCAGCGTAGTGCAATGGTGTATAACCCTTATTGTTCACCACGTTCACACTGGCACCATAGTTAAGCAACAGTTGTAAAATACCATCATGACCTGGAAATGTAGCTTCGTGCAATGGTGTATCACCATCATTGTCCACTGCGTTCACATTGCCACCATAGTTAAGCAACAGTTTTAAGATATCGTTATAACCCAAACGTGCAGCTGCGTGCAATGGTTGATCCAACTTGTTGATGATATCCGAGTCCTTTTGCAAGATCTCTCGTACTTTGTGAAAATGCCTCATTAAACATGCACAGTACAGACTTTCATCTTGTCTTGTTGACATTCCTTGGTTCAAACCTTGCTATAATTAATAAAATTAATAGAATACAATAATGCTCTTTGAATAAATTAGTTCATTTTTAAAATTTGTTTAAAATAGTAAAAAACTTCGGCTGATTACATGGACAGTTCTCAGTCAGGACTGAGTTTCAGCCTGGTTTCCTGGGCTGACATTTCAGGCTGCCCTAAGGATAAAATCCTATTAAAACACAGCAAGCTACTACATGAAAAAAAATTCAGCCCGGGATCAGTTTTAGCCCAGGCTGAAAATCGTAATGTAATCGACTGGAAATTTCTCAGCCCTGGTTTAAAAAACATTATCCTTTGATGAGTAGCCTTATTTTTGTCTGTACTATTTCTAATGCAATCACAGTTTCGCACAAATCAAATAGACACATACCCTGGGTGCCAGAGGTTCTTCCACGCTCGTAGGGGGGATAATGAGGGATACACGAGGATTCAAGCTGGGCGGCGGCGAGCGGGAAGAACCTCTGGAACACTTCTATGGCTTTTACTGTTTTAACTGTCACATGTCAATCAAACGTTAGCCAATAGGACACGTATTTATTTTTGACTGATGATAATTTGGGCGTGTTCAACCGAACATTTGAGCGATGGAAATTGCGACAGAATGTGTCAATTTCAAAACAAAAAATTAAAATTAGCGAGTCTTTATAGTAAAATAAACCGAATAATATTATATGGCCACATGGCATTAGATCGTACACCTGTTAAAAGTGTTACAAAAAAGCGGAGACGAGTATTGTCGAGTTTGTGGTGAATTTGTTATTCACAGTGGGTATTTTAGTATACAGTAAAAGGATCGTCGCCTCGGTAGATTGAACTTTGAAGCATTTCTTGTTCATCACATAATACAAACGAATATTTGCCGTCCAAGGCCCTGTTTATATGGAGGCGAGTTACTCTGCAATTGGCGAATAAAACTTATCTAATGATTCGTATGTATTTTTTAACAATATATTATATTTCAAATGCAAACCACATACATTTATACACATACATTCGATCTCGGGCGGCCGAGTTAACAAATACCCGAACATCTTTTGTTTAATATGGTAACTATTCATCTCGCCGAAGGCAATATCTCGCCTCTTTCTGCCGGGAACTCGTCACTGGCGAGTTTATACTGTTTACTACATGTAAACAGTCCCCCGGGTTTACTACTGTATAAGTTTCTACAATATAGCCGGGATCTTGTCGTTGACGAGTATAAACTCGACTAATTGCCGGGTAATTCGCCTCGATATATTACGAAAGTCACCGAACTGTGGAATCGCATCAAAAATTCGTATATCGACCACTCCCACAAACGTCTACGACCACGCCTACATTCGACTACATAGTTTTGCATGTTTACAATTCTAATTTTGAACAGCCAATCAGGTTCTTGGTAATTGGCTGTTTAAAATTAGAATTGTAAACGTGCAAAACTATGTAGGCGCGGTCGTAGACGTTTGTGGGAGTGGTCGATATACGAATTTTTTATGCGATTCCACAGTTCGGTGACTTTCGTAATAAATATGCCTATAAAGACTCCCATCTTGTCTTGACATGCTTGATTACTAGACAACCACGCACACGAAATTCCCTCCTGGCAATATAGCAAACATATCACGGCGATGCATTAACTGAAACACAGAAACAAAGCATCATCTTGATGTTTATTGAGTTTTGTAACACCGTCCAGTAAAAAAATTCAAAATCGAATCAACCGCGACCGAGTTGTTGAAATCCTCTCGCAAGACTCGCAAAACTAGAGGCATACATATTTACGCCTGACTATGTTATAAATATAATATTATATTAAACAAAAGCGTATGCCTGTACGGATTCTGAACGATAATATCTTGAAGGACATACGAGGGTCCTGAAGGGGTAAAATGGGAACTGGGATTGATCTATTTTTAGACTGGGAAAATGGGATTTGGGTTGCTGAGACTGGGATTTGGCCACTGGGAATGGGAAGTGAAGTCCTCAAAAATGGGAATGGGATTGAGGTAATGCGAGTCGATTCCCAATTTTTCTACGTTTTAAGTATTTTAAAATACAATTTTGATCCGTTTTTGGTGTCTTTGGTCATGATTTTTGTTGTTAACTATATTATTCACAGCACTACCTGCGAACAGGCATACTCTGGCGCCCGGAATTCTGGGTTTTCTGATTATGCGTGTCTCAGAATGCTGCAAATGCCATTTCCGAGATTCAAACTTAAAAATTTTCCGTGCCTTTGGCACAACCCCCCCCCCCAATTTCATAAAATGTGCACCACTTGCACACAGGATGGCTTAAAAGTCTTAAAACTGTTTATTGTACCGATAAATAAAGGGTTTTTTATTGACTGGGATTTCAATAACTCGGACTGGGATTTCTAATAAAAATCCAACTGGGACTGGGATTTTGCCAAAATTTCAGCTGGGAAATGGGATTGGGACCCCCCCCCCCTTCAGGACCCTCACATACGGTTCAAACAGCCAATGAAAGTCATTGTTTTAACAAGTCCCTGCCGTTAACCAATTAACACTGTGATCCAGATTCTGGATCACTTCACACTATTAAGCATCGTGATTGGTGCGGTTCGATCTGAGAAACCATAGAAGTGTTCCAGAGGTTCTTCCCGCTCGCCGCCGCCCAGCTTGAATCATCGTGTATACCTCATTATCTCCCCTACGAGCGTGGAAGAACCTCTGGCACCCAGGGTAATAGACACACTGTAAATAATCGATTAAGCGCCTCTGCACTTATTTAGATTCTGCCAGTTAAAGATGCGGCATTTATTCAAGAGCAGCACTTACTTTGAAGCGCCATTCATTTCAAAAGCAGGGGAAACATGTACTGAATATATAGTGAATAAAGGGTACACATGCTAGATATAGCCAATTTTCTAAATAAAATCAAGGAATACGGTGCCAATTTGAAAGCGGGGCTTAAAAAAACTATTTTCGGCAAAGATGCGGCACTTTCTCAAGAGCGGTGCTTATTCAGTGAGCGGCGTTTAATCGATCATTTACAGTAAATTCAACTAAACAACACTTTAAATTCTTCACAGAAGCAAAATAGCTCTATTTTGAGATTTGATTGTTCAGCCCAGGGCTGAGATTTCATCCTTGGCTTGAGCTGAAATTTGAACTCATGTAATCGCGAAACAATTTCAGCTCGTTTAACTGGGCTAAAATTAAGCCGAAACTGAGAACTCTCCATATAATATCCACTTGCTTTAAATTAAAGTGCTTATGAAACGAAATTTTCACCTCATTTTTTATTGTTTTGCTAAAAAGTACCGCTGGAGTAATGAAGAATGACGTTTACAGTTTCTTCATATCTCATCTCATTCTCAAGTTATCGCACTTTCTATATTTTGAGTTGTGACGTCACTAGTTTGACTTGAGATAATGGCAATAACAAGAATTAAAGTCTGATATCTTGGTGCGTATTTAATAAAATTCAATGAAACTTGGTACACTTAGTGAGTGCACCGATATGAATATTTTTGGCAGGTTATGTGGTTGTCAGGCAACACACTAGTCCCCAGTCTCTTTTCTTTCTTTTCATAAATTTCCTCCTGTAGACCTCTTGCAAATGATGTTTGCATGTTATAATGGTTTAAACCGATCACAATACCTACACATATTATAGTAATAAGCGATAATTGCAGAAATTGCTATTTATTTCCTTGGAAATGGATCATATAGAAATTGGAAGAGAAGGGACTGGGGACAAGTGTATTGCCATAACAACCATATAAAGAAGCCAAATTGTTCACTTTGTTGCACCCACTAAGTGTGCCAAGTTTCATTGAATTTTATTAAATGATCATCAAGATATCAGATTTTCTTATCATTGCCACTATTTTGAGTCAAACTACAATCCTGGAAAAAATATAAGGAGACTATCATCCTCGGCTTGGTCTTGAGAGTTGTAGCTGCCTTTATACTTGATGATACTCTTTGAGGTTGCAAATATTGGCGTATCTTCACTGATGCAAACGTCGGTGCTGAAGCGATTCTTAGGAGCTGGCAGGTTAACCCTATCTCCTTCCAGTAGTAATAGAAAGCTCTTCCACTCGATTAAATTAACTTAACTCCTTGCTCCATCGGAAATTATTTAAGAAGGTAATTTCTGCGTGCTCGGCTCCAACCCATGCCTATCTATCCGCCGCTGGGTTTGAAAATATCTTGAAAATTAACTCCAACGGTCTTAATAGAAACGTTTTCCCACATTTAGTTGGCCCAACTATCATCACGTTCCGGTACTTCCCTCGTCCTAACAACAATAGCTCTCTAACGGCAGCAGCAAACAATATGGGGTGGACTTTGTTATTGACCAACACTTCTTGGGCGCACTCTAACCATTTTCCTTTGCAAGACAATGAACATTCACCGTCAGCTGCCTTCCGTATAAAATCTATTCGTGAAGCTTTTTTTCGTAGTAGGGTTGCAGATGCCGTCTTCATTTTCCATGTTTGCTCTATGAGGTCATGCAAGCCCTTTGAGTTACGTGAAAGAACAAAATCTGCGAGATCTTTCTTCCCCTCTTCGCTTTGCTCATTCGCAACAGCTAATAATTCAGTCTCCGACTTAATTTCATGTTCGACAATGAACTCTGCCACTTCCAAATTTGAAAGTTTTTTCCTTCTCTTGGACGTGGTAGCAGCTTCCGTATCAGCTACATTTGACTTTTTCTCACAGCGCCTTTTTCGGTATGTTTGTTGACAGCGCTTTGTTCTTGGAGAACCAATTTCATCGAGATTCGGGTGCCCTGTGCTGTGGAAAACCATATCATCAGATTTGCTTAATATGTACCGATATGCAGTATAGTAGCCATCGTGATCAGAGAAGTTAACAGCTATTCCGTGTTCTGCTTCAATAAATTTCTTTGCTTCAAGCCATCTCTTTGTACCACTGAGTTTCAAGGCATGGTGGTAGTGATAACCGCCATTTTCATGCCTTTCGAGGCAACAAGCCCAATGTAGCGGGACAACTTTACTTCGTTTTGAAGTGAATGCAACGGCTTCAACTTCGCCAAACGATTCTCTGGTTGGAAACTTCTGTAAGTCTGCTTGACTGTAAGTAACAAGATAACTCCTCCGTGGCTTAGACTTATCAATTTCATCCATCCATTAAAGATTTGTTTGATTTAGTACGTAAATTTTATTGTAATGTACTGTGATGTTTTGATTTAACGCGCCAAAATCACTATTGATAGTCAATCGCACCCCCTGAAAAAAATCTTAAAATCACACCCCCCTGTATACGTAAATTTTACATCCACGTAATATGCAGTTTATAATTTAGTATAATATAAGATATGTCTAAAAAATACCACCAATAAACAACGTCCCTAATTGTTATATCTGATTTAACCTTGGAGACAATCCTGGAAAAAATATATGGAGACTATTTGTTAATTTCACAAAAATACATTATAAAGTGTTAAAATCGTACATTTCCGTCTAAATAACTTAGTGAATGATCTTGAATGCTAAATCCCCCCCTTCCCCCGGAACAATGTTGAATAAAACGAAGTCACTTTCCAACATACACCGCATATATAGCAACATTGTGTAGGGGGGGAAGGGGGAAACGTTGAGAAATTTAATAAGTTTACTAATTTTTTTCCAGGATTGTAGTGACGTCACAACTCAAAATATAGAAAGTGGGGAATGAGATACGAATAATCTGTAAACGTCATTCTTCATCATTTAAGCAGTACTTTTAATAAAACAATAAAAAATGAGGCAAAAATTTCGTTTCACAAGCACTTTATTAGCACATTATAAACAAATTTTATAATTTTAAAAGTAGAACTGATCGTTTTAAGAACAGTCCACTAGTCTATGCTATTGATAAATACAATAATAATATGTATATTTATATATTTTTAAAATAGTTTTAATAACATTTTAATAGATTTAGTTGTAGCTGTACCTATGTTGTATACTATTAAAACCCAGTATTATGATTAAAGATATGGTCTAAATGTATCAATTAATAATCGCTATGTATTTGAAACTCAGTTTCATTCCAACTGAGGCGAAATCTGCATGTAAAAGGTAAATACAGTCTTGATAATCCTACAAAATTGGCTTATGGAAACGCTTTAGCATGTTTACTAACAATATTAAATTGGCATGGGCAGTTTTAGAATAGAACTATTACAAATATCATATGTAATAACGTGTCTTCAAAAGCTAACGTAGTATCTGGTGTTCCACAAGGATCAATATTGGGACCTTTGTTGTTCATTCCCTACACACGCAAAAATCTCACATCTTGTGGCAAGTCTGCCAACAAGTTGTCAACAAGTTGTCTTCGCACTGCTTGTCCCAAGTTGTCAGCAAGTTTGGAACAAACTGTTAACCACTTGTAACAACCTTGTTGATATTATCAGACGTGATGCAAGGTTGATGTCCACTGTCAACCTTGTAACATTCTTGTTATATCATGATTGTATCAGACTTGTTAATAGAACAACTTGGCTACAAGTCTGATAATGCCATCAAGCTTGTTGCAAGTTGTTAACAGCTTGTTCCAAACTTGTTCCAACAACTGGGAACAAGCAGTGCGAACACAGCTTGTCGACAGCTTGTGAACAGATTTGTAACAACTTGTTTGCAGACTTGTAACAACTTGTGCGTTTTTACGTGTGTCCATGAATGATTTGCCTTTACATTTGAAAGACACCAAAATTGATCTGTATGCTGATGACACGACACAATATGTGGATATAATTTACAGAATGTGCAACATAAACTGAATAGTGATTTGCAACCAGTGTTGAAGTGGTCAGAAAACAACAGCCACGGGATGGTAGTAAACACGGAGAAAACGAAAACCATGGTTATATATTATATATGTTCAAGACAAAATTATAAGACAAAATTTCTTACCTTTACCGCGTTAAAATCAGCTTGAAAAGTCGAAATTCGTTTGAAATTCTAGTCTCGAGGATTGTGGAAGTTGAAGCTGCGAAAAATTAAGGGTCCTATTTTCCATCCAGCAAACTGACCTGACGTCATTTTCGGAGTTAGCACTATTTTCCATCTGCCAAACTGACATGACGTCATTTTCGGAAGATGGAAGAGGTGTTAATTTAACTAGTTTTTGTCTGGAAAAATTTTTTTGGCTTCTTTTTTGAATGTCCGGAAAGAAATTTTGACCCCTAAAATGGTACACTGACCAAAATTTTTTTGGGGACGGGGGGGGGGGGGG